TGCATTTTTCTGCAGGTCTTTCTTTCAATAAGAATATTCTGGTGTTCCAGCAGTTCTGGATTGGTCTGCATGGATTCCACCTAATGCCCCCTGCTCTGCAAAGGCTTAATTAACAAGATGCCTGTTTCTCTGGGAAAACTCTAACCCCCCTTTTAGCAAATCCAGTCAATTTTGGGCTTAAATTTATGTAATCTTAACTCCCAACTTTCATTTCTATCAATCACACATGAATGTCTGTGTTACAGTAGTAGGCAGGAGAATCCAATTCCCCAAGGCAGTCAAACACATAGAGCCCCTTTTCCCCTCCCTTACCCATTTGGCCTATGTTTCAGCTCATGTACCTACTGACAGAAGGTTGTATATTTATCACTCTACCTATATCCCACATAGCCCATGTATACCTCCCTGATTCTTTCCCCATCTTCATTATTCACCTACCACCCTTCGTCTTGGATTCCTGGTGTGGCGGTGCTGTAGGATCAGCACTGGACTGCGAACCACAAGTTTCCAACCCATGAGTTGCTCCTTGGAAACCCTATACAGAGTCGCTATGAGGCGAAACTGACTCATTGGCACTTAACAGCAACAACAACCCTCTGACTTCTTGTGTATTGCCCTTCCTATCACCCCAGCTAACAGGTGTCTACTCTCTAGCCAGTGAATTACTCTCCTTGTCCTCCAATCCATGGTAGCCATCAAAGAATGTTTCTTTTAGTATGGTCACCTTTTCTTAAACTTTTATAAGTATGGTCTCATACGTTATTTGCCTTTTTGTGATTGACTAATTTCACTAAGAGTAACGTCCTCCAGGTTCATCCATGTTCTGAGGTGTTTTGCAGATTCACTGTTATTCTTCAGCATTGTGTAGTATTCCATTGTGGGTTGTCTGTTGTTACTGGTTTTTAGTCCAAAGGACTCCCTTTAGTATTTTCTGTTGGCTTGGTTTTCCCTTTAGCTGGAAATGTTCTAATTTTGCCCCCATACTTGAAGGGCAGTTGTGCTGCATATATGATTCTTGGTTGGAAGGTTTTTTTCTTTCAGAGTTTTCTAAGTGTCTCCCCATTGCCTTCTTGCCTGTATGGTTTCTGCTGAGAAATCAGAACTTAATCTTATTAATAAGTTTACTTTTTTTTT